AGCGAAGTGCTCGCCGCATTACAGTACTCAGGATCATCCAGTTCAGGATCATAGCGACCGGAGCCAATAGTGGTGTCTGTATCGAGTAGCGCATCCAGCACCGAGGTCAGCTGGAACGTCTGCTTAATTGTGCCAAGCGTGGCCAGTGTGCCATTGTGCAGTAGATGAAGACTGCCTGTAAGCAGACGCTTAACAAAGGCCATCAGCCGCTGTTGGCTCATGTTGCGCCGTCTCTTAACCAGTACCTCATCCAGTGTGCGTAGAATAATGGCAAAATCATCATGATTCTTGCCCGCCTGAACGACCAACATATTGCGATAGAAATGCTGATAAAAGCGAATTGGATCTATGTTTAAGACTTCACCCTGGCCGGAGAGTATAACGAAAATGGTTTGGATGCAATGCAGCTGCTCGCGATAACCCAATTCCTGTTCCTCAAGTATGCGATTTAGCACATCTATGAGATCGGAAAAGAACTCCAGATTGATAACATGAGCGAATCTGTAAGTCAATATATAAGTTATATTCTCTAATCGGGATGTCAATTGCAGTACTCACTCCGCCAGACCCTCCAGTATCGCGCTTAGCACCCGCGACGTGGGATCATTCTTGAGCACACGGAAATATATTGTGAAGACCATTTTGATAATTTCCGTCAGTTTGTGGTGCTTGGTCTGCTTATTTTCTTCGGCACGCGTCTCCTCTAGTTCTTTATTGACCTCAGTGAGTTTCTTGCGACGCTTGCGCTCCTTCTTGGACAAGCTAAGCAGACGCTGGCGATGCGACTCCAACTTCTTTTGCTTCAGTTCATTTTCCTTTTCAGCATCCAGGTTGACATGCTTGATCTTAAGGCCCATCATGCACGTTATGCACTCGACATGCACGTTGTTCTGCTTGGACTTGATCAGGTGATTGATGCGACGCACAATAAACAATGTCATATCCAGCCGCTTGTCGTTGCCGAACAAGGTGCGGAAGCATTGATTGACTGCCACACGCATCGTTCCATAGTTGCAGTTTAGCATATAGACCAGCAGCTGGGCAATGTTTTGGACGTAGTTGAAGTAGGGATGTGCTATTAGCAGATCGCACATGCATTGCACTGCTACAGTGGCCATTTTGATGGTTTGTGGTGTCTTTTGGCCACCACGTTTGTTCACCTGGGCCGTCAGCTGTTCCAACTTCTGCAAAAACTTCTTGAACTGCTGCAGCAGCGCATTTTCAAAGGTAACACGATCTAGTGTGGCTTTGCGTACGGTTTGCATCTTGGTGTCCACCTGACCAACACGATATTCGGGCAGAATGTCCTTAAATATTTCCGTTATCGAAATGATTGCCAGTTTGCGCACAGCGAGAAGATTGGGAATGCCAGTTTCTGCATTAATTTCATCCATGAGTTCATAGAGCGCATTAATGTTGCGCATTTTATCCTCTGGTCTCTCCAGAATACCAGAACAAATGATGCCTATGCGATATTTTTGACGCTCTATTTCCTGCTGTCGGGCAATTAACAAATCTGTGGTCGATACCAGCTTCTGTTTGGGCATGGGCACCTCATCATTGACAACATCATCGTCGCTGTCTTCAAATACAGCATCGCTGTCTTCCTCTTCGTCCTCTTCAGCCTCTACTTCCTCCTCATCTAGCTCTGGCTTGCGTTTTGGTTTCGGTACATAGTCAACTTCTGTGGTTCGCGTTATGATCTCACCATCGCGAGATTTAATAGGCAACAAGTTGACTTTTACCTTTTGAGCTGACTGCTCTTTTTTGCTGGCTGTAGCATAGGCCATTTCCAGACTCACAGACTGCTGCTGCTCCTCCAATGGCACTGCCTTTGCCTTTCGCTTGCGTTTGTTTGCCTGCAGCAGGGCCAGATCATCACCGTCCAACATGTCCGCAACGTTGTCCAGTAGGTGCTCCCCGCCAAGCTCATCTCCATCCTCATCAGCATCGAGTTCTCGGAGCAGTCCAAGCGACTGCTGCTTATTATGTTTCTTGCGCTGCGCCAGATTGTCACGCTTGTGCGCCTTCTGAGAGAAGATGTTTTGTCCATGTTCACGTTTCGAGCTTAACTGCTCGCGTTTCTGTTTTATTTTTTGTTGTTGCTGTTTGCTCAGCGGTGCCTTCTTTGATTTCAAGTGAGCGGCTCGCTTCACAGAACTTATTTTTACCTTCTTCTGCAAGTGTCAATTATATATAAAGTTACTGAGTACAAATTAGTGCTTTATTTAACACTTACCGTACCCATTTTATTTAAATTTTAGTAGATAAAAGCGGCTATTAACAAAATTTAAAGCGAGCACATGGCATTTTCAGTTGCCAATAGCGATGGGAATTAATCGTTGCATATTATCGATAGTACTAACTAATCTATCGAATTTGTCACGTATCGACTGCCGCCGTGCTATTATAGTTCAGTGTTAATCAGCTGTGCGGTGATATTTGCATTTTACCACTAACAAAACAACAACCATATGTTGTTTGGTTGGAGTTTTTTCGATACATACGTTTATTATCAGAATGTCAGACGAAGAAGAGGACTACATGTCCGACAAGTTCTTAGCGGGGTGAGTAAATTATTAGATTTCTAGTTAGTTGGCTTTATTAATATATATACTCTTGCAGTCTACATGAAGTACGCCCCAGCTTAGTAAATAATCGCGCCAAAAAGCGTCAAATGCAAGTGCACACAAAACAGGAAGAAAACAGCAAGCGACAACGCGAAGCAGCTAATGCCACCACAGTAGATAATACGAGGCTACAACAGTCTTTAAATAAGCCGCTCGCAGCGGATAACAAAGGCTTTCAGCTGTTAGCCAAAATGGGCTACACGGCAGGCAGCGGCCTGGGTAAACAGGCAGATGCACGCATAGAGCCCATAGGCATTACTATTAAAAACGATCGCGGTGGGCTGGGACGGGAGGCAGCGATTGCTGAGCTGGCTGCCAAGCGACAGGAGCTGCGGCGAGAGCATTTGCTGCGCAAAGCAGGCATTGGACCCGGCGAGGAAATCAGTACAGAAGAATATCGCCGGAGAGCTACACAAAAAGCCGAAGAACGAAAGCGTAACTATGATGTAAAGCGTTGTCAGCAAACGTGCGAGTCGCTGGATCTGGCAGCAGGCGTTACAGAACCAGATCTAGACTTTTTCTGGCCGCCCAAACCCACAGAGTTAAGTGAAGACACAGAAGCCGAGGCAGTAGTTGAAGCAGCAGAGCCAGAAGAGAAGGAGGAACAGTACAGTGCAGGGGAGCAGCTGGAACTGCTGACCAGCTATCTGCGCACCTCCTACAAATTTTGTTATTGGTGTGGCACGCACTACGAAAGCGCCGATGATTTGGACAGCAACTGTCCCGGTTCGACACGCGATGAGCATTAGCATTAGAATAGGATCTAAATTAATAATTTAAGCGCCAGTTTCACAAAATACGTGCACATTTATATATTACAACAAATGGTAGTCAAAAAACAGTTATATATAGCGGTGTACTATGATTGAGTCGGGTTGAGGCGTACAATTAGAATGCGGCTACACGCGTCCTTCTAATTTCTGTATAAGATCGTGCGTCTGCTCGATGACGCTGTAGATAAATGGTCGCTCCATTGGATCGATGCGCAGCATGTACTTAATCAGTTCATGCATGTCCTGTGAAATCAAAAGTATTGAAGTAACGTTTATGTTTGTACTGATTGAGTTACCTCTGTATAAATTGAATCCTCAGGAATGTTTACATTGCCGCTGAGCACGGCCAAGGCAACGCTATCGCCACGCTCATAGATGGGATCAAATGGACTGTTAAAGTAGCACATGGCATACAGCACGCAGCCGAGACTCTAGTGGAAAGAAACAGTAAGCAAGTACTACAAAATTGATAATCAGTAACTCACCCAAATATCCGTGCGCTCGTCGATGGTGCAATACGTTTTCACCGTAAAAAGCTCGGGTGCTCGATAGACAATTGAGCTGCGCTCCTCAGCCTCGTCCTGTAGCCGTTGCGCATCTGATTGACCGCAAATTTGCAGGCGCGCCTCTGTCATGGAGCCGAGGTCCACAATGATTGGCTCAAAGGAGTCTGATAAGCATATGTTGGCAGTTTTCAAATCACGGTGCGCCAGCGGCACTGGCTTTGCCTCATGTATGGCCCGGAGACCTTCGCAAACGCCCAAAAAGATTTGCAATATTTGTGCCTCGGGCATATGATCCTGTTTCCGTGCGCGCAGCTGCAAGTGATCCGACAGCGAGCCATGCTTGTAGTAGGGCAACACAATGAACAAGGTGTTCGTCGTGTTTATCACAATGTCCGCCTGGCCTTTCAGCTCGTAGTCAACGACACGTATGACATGCTCCGAATCGATTTTACGACAATTTTCGATTTCACGCAGGGCGATATTCTGATCCTCGATGCTGTGGCAAGTTATGCGCTTTATCGCGTAGCTGCGCCGCGTTGCCGCATTCACCGCAAGGTCAATCAAACTGAAGCCTCTGCAGCAGATAGTGTAAACATTGAGATTAGATAGCAGTAGCTATGTAACGGGAATAATTGTACCCTTTGGGAGGGCACAACGAAATGGGCTAGAGATCTAGCGCAACTGTGACTGATAAGTATGACCTTTTGATGTTAGCAAGAGCTATTTACTAAGTTTAAATAAGTTTAGTGCTGACTTGAAGCTGTTACAGGGTATCTACCAGTCAAAAACCTTTCAAAACTCTCTGTAACGGGGCTTTTTATTTGTGGTTTGATTTTACCCTTGTGCCAGGCGTTCGCGTACTGTGTAGCGGGAGCCATTGATGTTAAGCTTTTCTTTGCTGCAAAAGCAGCCACGTTTTACAATCAGTGTCCATCCAATGCTGTGCATTTTACTTTCTCTAATTATTTATTTACAAGATGCACAAACTTCGAGCTTAAGAAACTACCTAAACAACAACAACTAATTAATATCGCGCTGCACAGCTGTTCGCAAAGACAGGGCTGTTAACTGCAACACATGCCACATGCCGATGTGGTGTTGCCACCTGGTGCAATATAATCAACTAAGTTAAACTCTATATTTTTAAACGCAATTTCAAACGCTTTTCTTTAATTTAATTAATAATGATAACCACGGAAGACGCTTGGCAGGATCTCATTGGCATCAGCGCCGATCCGCCTGACAGGCGCAATAAATGCGAGCAATGCAAGTAAGTCAATAAAACATAAACAAACTCACTTTAATGCACAGCCTTTCACAGACGACCCGTAGTTGTCTGCTGGTGCTCCGCATTACCTCAGCCGCCCCTGGCAGTGGCTTCGCAAATTGTGATACTGCAACATCCCGCGGAGGAGAAGCGTTCGCTGCGCACAGCTCTTATGCTGCAGCTGGGACTAAAACCTGGAAAATGTGTGGTTTACAAGGGCAAGCGATTTCCCAATGCCCGCCACCCAGCTGAGCTGCAGCGTGTGCTTGATTCGCCACAGACGCTACTCCTGTATCCTAGTAAAGATTCAGTGCCATTGGAGCAGATCAATCGGAGCACGGGACCGTATACTCTCGTGCTCATTGACGGCACTTGGCCACAAGCGAAGGCTATCTATGCCAGCAGTCCGGCACTGCATCGCTTGCGCCAAATCAAACTAATTGCGGTGGGCATTAGCGATTACATTATACGTACACAACCCACTGAGGGATGCTTAAGCACACTGGAAACGGCGGCGCAGTGTCTGGCAGTGCTAGAAGCGCAGCCTGAGCTGCGCCAAGTGCTAGTGCAACCGTTGCATGCACTATGCAAATACCAGCTCGATAATGGTGCCGTGGAGCACCAGTCAAAGGAGTTCCTGATGAAAACTAATCAATATCCCAAACCTATTGGTAAGAGGCTAAGTCGCTTATTGAACTACAGTAATACAGTGTGCGGCAGTGCCAGTCCTCTAGAGCAACAGGCGGTTGAGCAGAAGTCTTGATGAACGCGGTCACAATATGGTTAATGCTCTGTGCGGAAACGTGCTTTTACTTTTAATACATACTATAAACTATTTGTAATTTATATACACAATTATGTGTGCATATATGTGTTTCCAAGTGATTTTTGGAATTTAAACCATGGGTGTGTTTCTGGCATCTGTTAAAGCACGCATCATAGCACACTGTGCAATTGTATAGGTCCTAACACATGCATTCTGTTCATCCACTGCAATAATTATAAATTAAGAGTTAATCATGTTTTGTATATTTTTGCTGATTGCTCTACTTACTGGCCTGGGATTCACAAAACTCTATGGAATCACCCGTTGCTGGCCACATATATTTACGCACCACATCCGGATTCAGCTTGAAGTTTTCTATTATGCCAGCTTTTTCGAAGAAGCAGCGAAAGTAGCACTAGAACATATTCAATGAGAAGTATCTCTTCAGTTTTGGAGTCAGTCACATACCATGCTGGTCATATCCTTCTCATCGAATAGCTTGCCTGTGGTATTAAACTGCAGCACATTCGCTGGAATGATAAAATGTTTAGATGCATAGAAATATTTAATTTGTCCTTACAGGACTCACACATGGGCGTAACAAAACTAGCATTACAGGCATGCATAATCTCGTCAAAATCAATATAGCCCGCTTCTCTAGGCGCTTGGGTTGTGGTCGATATGTCATCCACATCGCCATCGAAGCTATCGTAATTTATTATAAATATATCGCCATTGTCCCGGGCGCGATCACTGAAAGCACTAGTAAGCCCGAGACTCATGCCCAGCACGGTCAACAGAGCAACAAAAATTTGAATTTTTAGAAACATTTTCGCAACGGTAAACCGACTTTAATGGAGGTTACGAGTTTGAAACTTATTTTATATGAAATATCGACCGTCAATTAGATAAACAAATTGCTCTAGTGACTTTAACACTACACGCAATAGACAGTTTCATAAGCAGAATAATATTTACGGAAATGGCGTGATAACAAATTGGTAAATATTATAATAACTTTGACACAATAGTTATAAATATTTAGTTTTGGTTGAACAACCTATAAGAGAGCGTTTCTCGGAATAAATATACAATTTATAATACAACTAAATAGGTTAGCCAATTTTGGTTAACTTTTCATTATTAGTGAGTGCAACTTGTATGTTAATAAATTAAAATAAATAGTTCTTTTCGGACTATATTATGATTGAAGTTCAATTCAAAGGGCAACTATACGGTACGCTACATTCAATTCTATCAAAAAATAATAGAGATAATCCCAGAGGGATTTGATACGTTTTTATGTTTATAGTCGATTCTTCTTCTTAATTAACTTACCATATGGTAGTAAGAACTCCTCGGCACAGGCCGTCCTAACCTCAAGGAAATGCGCATGAAATGCGCGCTGCACTTCCGGACTATCCGGTTCCGGTTGCAGATCCTGAGCGCGCGCCTCGATTAAGTATAAGCCGTATATTAACAGAATTCGAAGCAAATGGAGCCGTGACATCTTTACTTAGCCCAAGACTTTACTGTTTAACAACCTAGAGAATCGTTTAGCTTTTATAGAACGAATCAAACTGAGTTAACTATAGATCGATTTGAATTAAAAAAACGTTTAACTAAATAGTTGCAGTTTAATCGAACAATAAATACATGCGACAGCAATATTCTCATTCATATAATACAAAACTAATAATATTTTAATGAATGTTAAACGAATTCTATAAAATTCAATGGGTGTTTTTTTTCTTTTTTTTTTTTTTGAAAACCGTTTACGAAAATTAGTTAAAATAGCGTAAAGTTAACTTAATGAGTGTCGGGAACTTTAGTATAGATCGCGCAACGAGGTCAGTGCTTAGAGTGAGGATTACGTATAGATATAGTTGAATTAGTATAGCCAAAGGGTTTAAATTTACAAGTACATAATTGTAAGATAATATGTAGTATAGTTTGTGTTGTTGCCTTATAATTAATTTCGCTTAATTTTGCAGTAATTCTTGATGGAATTTTCATTAAATTACTCTATGCAGCGTCCACGTTGCATCCACACGTCAGACCTTGGCGCCCCAGGCCCGTTTCAATAGATAGGCGCCCTTCTCCGCGATCATCACCGCCGGTGCGTGTGTATTACCCGCTGTTACCTTGGGCATAATGCTTGTGTCCATCACACGCAATCCTCGTATGCCATGTACCCTCAGCTCGTGATTGACAACGGCCATGGGATCTTGCTGCGGACCCATTTTGCAGCTACCCGCCTGATGATTCTCTGGTCCGGTGTTCTGACGCACCGCACACTCCCAGTAAGCATCGCTGCCAAAGGTGTGCGATTCGCAACCCTTTACGACGGTCTTGTCCAGGCGCATGCCGTACTGCTTGAGAGGCGAGCTCTGCGATAGTCTTATGGCAAACTTAATGCCATCCACCAGGGCCTTCACATCATGATCATCGGTCAGGTAGTTGGCAAAAATGCGTGGCGGATCCAGGGGATCGGCGGATCGTAGCTGAATATAACCGCGGGATCTAGGATTCAGTACGGCAGGAAAGATTTGTATGGAGCGTGAGTTGTTCGTGAGCAGTTCACCCACTTGACCTGTGCGTGCGCAGCTGGCCAAATAGCCGCCAAAGTACAGCTGTAGATCAGGCAGATCTGGTCGATCGGCATAGCGCGAGGACACCTTGGCGGTAACATCAGAAATGCCCGTGCCCGACATCAACCCATCGCGGAAAAGTAAATACTCCATGGCGGTGGCCCAGTTGAGCGGCGCTGTGTCCGCATCATCGATAAAGAAGTTGGTAAAAAAGGCCACGTGATTCTGCAGATTCTTGCCCACGCCTGGCAAATTGTGCACGGGTCGCACATTCACCTGTTTCAGCTCCTCCTTGGGTCCCACGCCGCTGAGCAGGAGTATTTGTGGGGAATTGACGGCACCCGCGCTGAGAATCACCTCCTTCTTGGCCATAATCTTGCGCATGCTGCCAAACTGATCGCTGACCTCCACACCCAGCACGTTCTTTGTGTGCGGATGAATCAGCACCTTCGTAACGGTTGTGTTCAGCAAAATATGCAAATTGCTGCGCATGCGTGCGGGTCGTAGGAACGCTCTCGCTGAACTATAGCGAATGCCATTACGTGCGGTCATTTGGGCGATCATGAATCCCGTGGAGTTCTGCCCGTTGAGGTCTTGCACCGAGTAACCCAATTCCTCGCCAGCCTTGAGTATGGCATAGGACAGTGGCGGATTGTAGGGGAACTTGCCCACAGGCAAAAGGCCGCCCTTGGCATGGTATTCGGTGCCAACCGCATCTAGCTCGAGATTATCTTCGGATTTTTTAAAGAACGGCAACACATCGTTGTACGACCAGCCGGGATTGCCCTGTGCCGCCCAGTTATCATAGTCCTCACGATTGCCGCGTATGTACATCATGCCATTCATTACCGACGTTCCACCCAAGACCTTGCCACGCGGCCAATAGCACCGCTGCTCCATCGAGGACAAGCAAGCCATGGGCTCTGGTTCTGTGTTATAACGGTAGTCGATGTCGCTGCCAATGAAGTTTAGGAACATGGAGGGTATTTGAGCGCCCACGGGTTCATCGCCACCTGCGAAGAAACAAAAAATGAAGGGTATTTAGCTACATTTAATTGCATCCTAAACTAGTTTCACATCCTCATTGCGTAATGGCAAAAAAGCACACAGGCAAAGTGCTGCCTTAACTATTATTCAAATTGTAAACACTTTGTACACATAGCTACTAGCTTAAGTGTAAGCTCAATAAGACAAGATCACTGAGATCTTAGCTTTTCAGAGATCCGCATAGTACTTAGCAATGAATATGCACATTGAAATATTTTATAATTTACAACTGGTTTTTGCGTAGACCTTAGACAATTGCTGGTTATAGCATGGTACAAAGATCACAAGGTAAGGGACACTATTATGCTTTAAAAAAGTATTTACATGCCCAAGACAAGTAAAGATTTTTAACGGGAGTAAGGCCGGCCCTAACAGTGGGTGTGCATCTCCCGCAACAGTAAATCGATTCATTGTTTTTGTTATTTTCGCTGGAAGTCATTTTTGTGACTAACATGTTTGTAGCAATCAGAACAAATTATGCTGATTAGAAATCAATTCACAAAAATTCGAATAGCTATTTTAATGATTGTTGACATTTCCTAACGCGGATTGTTAATTTCTTGTTGTATTCCTTTTTTAATTTTGAATCAGTCTTCTAGAATTTCCGTTGTGCATGGGCCCACGACATTTGAGCAATTCGGTGATCATCAATTAATTAAATCAATTTAAATAAAAGGGTATTTGATTGCTATTTAAACCGTGGGAGCTAAAAATTCACCGCAAGCTGTCCAAATAATAATTTAGCTTGTCATTTTGTCAGTTGAACTGAAGCCAAAACAAACAACCTACAATTGCAACAAATTTCTACCAGTTCAACAAAAAGTTACTTCGACTAATAACTTGTTCTACAAAAACTTAAATAAATTAATTTAACATGCTTATAAGTTGCAAATACAATCAAACAACATTTCTTCACAATTGAAAACTCGCAGTTGTTGTTGTTACGCCGTGATCACCAAAAAAAAGGAATTAGCACAAAAGAGTTGATTGAATTGATTGAATTGATTGTTTAAAATGAAATAAAACTTATATATAAACGTGCATATAAATTCTCGTTATATTATGCAATTTTCAATTGCGAATGACAAATTAATATCGTTAACATAAATAATTAGATGAAAAAAATGTTTTTGCTAACAAAAGAACAAAAAAACCAAGCAAAATATATAACAGGGTGAAACACCTTTCAAGTGTATTAATTAATATATATTATTTAAGACTCATAAACAAAATACACACGTAAAACACGTAAAAAATCTAAATTAGAACACAAACTTGCACGTAATACGCTAAGATATTTTATATTTTTTATATATTGTACAAGATGTTGGTATTATTTAACACATATACAAATTTAATTTACGCGTAAATAAGACTCTTGGGACACAAACTTGTACTAAGCGTGAACAAAAAAATATGGTGCTAGTTTAAATATTATATTAATTTGCTTATAAAAACCAAAGCTACTTATTTGACCTCTAGAAAAATACATCCGCTTGATGATGCACAACTTGTGCAGATGGTTGACATTGAAAATGAATTATGAACCAAGAAACAAAACGTCTATTGTCAGAATTGGAAATCAAAAAAAGTGTCAACCCGGTGATTATTAAAACTATGCGTGCAACCAAGTGGAACCAACGCACTTAGCCAAAACGAGCACTTAACAAGCACTCATGGTAATATGGTATGGCCAACTAAGCAATCACAATAATAGCCACTGTTAATTGTACTCTAGGCATTGTTAGATCATTAGCACCAACGCAGTAACAATTATTTTTCTATCTATATTTATATATTTTATATTTTTTGTTTAATTTCAGTTGCGCAATTATTATAATTAGTGACAAGGCATAATAATTGTTGCACTGTAATATTTAATGAAAAGGGTTACCAGCGACACTAACCCCAAAATCAACTCCACTAATGCCAAAGTACTCCTGCCCATAGGCTTATGTTAATGGACATGTTCAAGGTTAAAATCATTCGACCAAAAAAAAGTCGAGCTGTGGGGCATGAATCTTTGCTGCCATGTTGCTACCTGCAATTGAGCTGAGTTAACAGCAAATCAACATCCTTATCGGTCTTTGACCCAAACTTCTTGCTGCCTGGTACCGACTGGAGTCTGGTAAGCTTGCAAAAAATAAAAGAACAAAACTTTTTTTGATTTATGGCACACCAAAGTTTAATGCTTGGCACGTATGTGCACAGCTTTTATTTTAACTGGATATACAAGTTAATTAAAGACTTTGAGCCAAATGCGTTGAACTAAGTACAGCATATATATTTACGTGTCCGTTAAAATGTAAAGCTTTTTAGCTTCTTAACTGCTGGTGGTTTCCACTAAGAGCGCTTAATCTCATTTGTTCTCTTCATTAAAAATAAATGAGTTTAATGTATTTTTAAACTTGTCCCACAAGAAAAGATTCCAAGTAGTTGGCATTTTCTGGCGAATCCACGCAGAGATTTTGCCAGTGAATTTGAGCCAATAAATTAGTTTTGTAAAAGTGTTATAATTTAACCTTTAAAGCTTATTAACTGCTGGTGGTTTTCATAAAGAGTGCATAAATTCTTTTGTTCTCTACATTAAAAAAAGAGTTTTATGTATTTTTAAGCTTGTCTCACAATAAAAAATACCAAGTCTTTGACATTTTCTTGCGAATTCACGCTAAGAGTTTTTGACAATAAATTTGAGCCAATAAATCAGGTTTACCTTATACCTTGATCTTGCTCTGATGAACTTAACATGCTTGTATTAAATAAGGTTAATATAAAAAAGCGTTAACTGCTTTTATTAAAGCACGCGAGCAAGTCATGTTTAAATATTCGTCAAGGTGCATTGGGCTAAATGAATGCCCCCCATTGAGCGAAAATATCGCTCTACCCACGCGCATACATGCGTTAAGTACGCGCATCTTAATTCATTCATAAACGCATTTGTAAATTGATACAAAAACAATTGCCAATTTTTAATTGCAAAAAAGCATTGAAGCGTTTAATAAATAACGTTGTAACTGAACTCCAAGACCAAGTGGCATATAAGCCCATAAACAATATATATATGTATATATAGTTATTTGCATAGGCGCAAATTACCGGCAGGGTAAAACTGAATGTAAGAGCTGCCAGTCGGGTGGGAGGGGGACAGCTCGTTTATTTTACATAATGCTCAAAGCAGTTGCGGTTGCTTCTTTGCCACATTGTTGTTAGTGTTGCATGTTGTTGCTATTGTTAAGCGTTGCTCAAGTTTCATTAATGTTGTTGCCTTTGTCTTTTCTATTCGGTTTGGTGTGTGGCTGTTGCGGTTAAGCTTCAATTACTTCTAAACAAATGCCACATAACGCGCGTCTAATTGCCCACAGCTCAACCAGCTGGCGACATGTATACATACATATACGGCAACATGTTGCACGGCCACAGCAACAACATTGCCGCTTCTGGCAAGTAAACAGCTGTAAAAATCAATGGTTTACCACTTACCGGCTTCAATGAGTAGCACTTTCCACTGCGGCACCTCGGAGAGACGCGACGCAACCACAGAGCCCGCCGAGCCGCCGCCAATGACAATGAAATCGTACTCATAGTCTGGCTCCGAACGAAACTGCATGAATACATCATTAAGCTCCAGATTTGCTATTATTTTAGGATAAACTATGACCTACCCTTGAGCTGGCGCGTCCACAGGGATCCTCCAGATCGCATTGGGAGCGTATGAACACCTCAAGTAGACCCATGAACAGCATAAATGCGCTGCCGCCGCATGTAGAAGCGAGTGTTGGGCCGGTGGGCACGCCCACCAAACAATCACAGGCTGATGTGCTGGTGGACATGTTGTATTAAATCACTGGAAATAGCATTTAAAAAACCAAAGACTTAGGCAACAAACTTGACAGGCATATAGCATCAAAAGACTTTGGCAACGAACTTGACTGGTTATAAAATAAAATATTTTTTAGTTTTGGCAAATTAATGTTAATCATCAATAGGAATTAAACACACATTTTACAATTAGATTTGGCCTTGCAACTGGCATCCATTGCAGAGATCCAAGAGCCCAACAGTAGTTTGGCTGGCGTCGCAAAAGAGGCGTCGCCTGTGCACGCGAAATGTCCATAAAACCAAACAGAAACAAAAACAATTTTTGATACCTTTGGCTAAATGCCGGCAGCATTGGTAATAACAAAAGGCCAACATAGGCAGTAGACCGACAGAAGTCATAGCTCATCATCAGCGGTCCAAAAGAGCTTGGCCCGTTGGCTTGCCTTTGTTGTTTGCATAGTTTCACATGACCTTAGCCCAATGTAGCTGAAGTGCTGGCTATCTTTTATCTTATATCTGCTTTTGACTCTTTTCCAAAAATTTCAAAACATTGCACGTTGAGTTCATGGCGCCTGTGCCTAAAACAGAAGCAATTGTTAAACAACACGAGTACTCGCTGTAGCCCACAATCATTGAGTAATAATTATGCCATTTGGTAATCCAATTGCATTTTTGGTGCTGGCCTCTGAACTGGTGGGTGAAATTAAAAGTGATCTTTGCTGCTTGTGTTGAATTTGAGGGGTTGGACCTAAGTCCAATCTATCTTGTTTTTACAAAATAGAAAAATATTTTTTAATGAGTTTTTAATGGTTAGTGTCCTGTTTCTGTGTAGAAAAATTAATTTCGATAAATATTTTTATTATAGCGACAGAAAAATATTTTTTGCGATAATTAGGACCTGCGCGTCCCCGGGCATCTCGCTTAAAACTCTGTATGAAAATTTGTTTTTAATCGTCTAGCTCTTTTATATAATCAGCTAAATGTTTTTTAAATTACCGAAAATCGCTTATCCATTAGTTGCATACCCGAAATATCTCAATTTGTTAGCTGCACATTTTTTCACACAATTTCGGTAAACAATTACAGCGCCGCCCGCCTGAAATCAGCATCAAAAGTGGCTATACAATTTTTTTTATTTTTGTTTTAAGGTTTTGGAGATGTGTACAACGTTTTTGACCTCAATTAGACTGAGCAACTTGGTTGATTTGGATACAGCAATCAAATTGCAATTTGTAAGCGCAAAACCAAAAACAGAAAGTTAAACAAGAGAATCAAAAACCAAAAAATAAAAAACAAACCGATCTGAGTTGAGAAGTGCAAGCAATAGCTACAATTCGAGATCGCCAGATCGACTTGGGACAATGATGGTGCGCACATTTGACATTTGAAACACGATTTTTTTTTCAGTTACCATTTGTATTCGGATTTTGGCCTCAGTTCGTGTCTCAGTTACAGTTTTCAACTCACATTGGTAACGGCAAAGTTGAAGGATGCCTCGAAAGTAATGCAAAGCGTACGCAGCACGCACGCGAGCGTGAAAAATCAAAAAGAGAGGCAGTTGACCTCGCAACGAGTTTTTCCTTTAAGCAAAAAAACAAAAGCAAATCAACAAAACGAAAAATCAGCAACAACTGCCTAAAAAGTAACCAAGCGAACTTCGGAGCACACAAAATGCGTGCAAAAATCGTGCACAGTTGTGTCCATAAAAAAAAAACAAACAAACAAAAATAAATAAATACTTAAAAGTTGTTCCGATCAACTTCTGGCTTCAATGACGTGGTTAATATAAAAATGTGTTGGAAAAGCAAGCTAGGGGTGAGTTAAATTTTTTACTAAGATTTTAACTACCAGCCATAAATAATCGACAAGATTGTATAGCAACAGAAAAGGAATACAAAAATCTTCATCTCTAATATTAATTTATTATATTTAACTAAGAAATATATTTTAAATTAACAAATATTCATAATTTATTTCAGCCTAAATTAAAATGTTAAGTTAATTGTATAATAAACTAAAAAATATAATAATAAAATAAATGTAACAAACTTCTGATATATTATGATTGATTAAAAAAGAATTATGTAAATAATTGCGATAACTTCTTTCAAGAGAGCAAACATAGTTTTCAGCTTGTTAGTCATTAAGTAGGTTTGCAATAATAAAAGATTTAAATCTTTATGCTTGGCACTTCCTTTGGCTGCCTTAACAATTGACATGGTGCCACTTCATAATTAACTGTTGTATATATGGTATATCTATGTATCGCCTGGGCGTCAAACGTCTTGTGCACTGAAGCGATGAGCCTGTCAATTACACGAGTGCCACATATCAATTGTTGTTGCTGTTGCGGTTGCTACGAGCACTCACATTGTATTCGTGCTATGCGTTTGCATGATATCTTCATTGATAGGGTTGGCATTGTCTGCATTGCTGTTGCTTTTGAAGGTTTCTTTCAGCTGCTGTCAGTCTGTCAGTCCGTCAGTCAGTCAGTCAGTGAGTCAGTGAGTCAGTTCAGCGTGTTGGACTCGTGCTCATTGACTTGTTGCGTTGGTGTGAACAAGATAGTTATTAAATAAAGACACGACTGCAATCTGGCATATGTAGTGTGCCCCCTACTGGCTGACTGTATATTTGGGAGATTTTCATTTTTGGTGCTTATTAATGTGGGAAATATGCATTTATTAGAATAATAATAATAAACTAACGGAATTTATGCGTACCATGACAAAGGCCTCAGATTAAAGCGTGCGATTTTGTGTGTGGCTTGCGTAATGCTTTTCAAGGCTTATAGACAGGGAGCTCTGCCCAGGAAATCTGGCTGGTATCCCAGGGTTTTTAGATCTTACTGCATCTTAACTAGCGTATAACAATTAATTGTAGATATTGTTGACACTATGCTTGTTGGAAGAAAATATAAATAATCTAATCAGTAACTAACAGCCGCAACCAATTTAATGCTCTGCACATTGTGTGGCACTTTGTAGTAATTAATTTCACCAATGTGACTCAGATTGGTGCCGCGCTATAATTTGAAACTGGTTTGGCAAATCGAAAACAACCGTTAACGGGGGCACAACAAAAAATAGCTAAATAAATGAATAAAATAGCGAAAGAAAAAAACGCGTCATAAGGTTTTCACGTTCGGGCGCGTCAAAATGACAAGGTGACCAAATGTGCGCATAATTTAAAATAGATGCAAATAAAGTGCATCATAAAAAAGAAATTGAGAGATAAAATGGAAAACAAAAACTATCATAATACCCAAATAAGCCACGGCATGTTGCTGCTGTGCAGCCGCTTAAAGCGGATCTATAAATTAGCGGCAACATCTGCGTGGCGTGGCGCGGCGCGGCGTGGCAGCAACAATTTAATGCAATGCAAACATTGCATATACATATGCTGCCGCGGTATTGATAACTGAACTGCTCTGCGGCTATTATGCGGCTGCAATGCCGGCGGTTGGCCATTAGAAATTGGCCAAGAAACCAAACAGTGTGGCGGCTAACAACATTAACAACAACAGCAACAAGCAGCAGCGGCAGCAATTGCATTCGCAATTCGAAGGAAGCAGCCGCGCAATGTTTGGCTAAACTTGGCGAATGCATCTCAGACTATGGGCTGTGTGTCTGTGACTCTTTCGCAGCTCGGATGCCGGTGCCGGTCGCATGGCTTAACTTCCTATTTTCACTTTCATTCGTCTTGCGCCCAGGCTGGCCATGGAAATACAACAACAACGACAACAACTCAACTACTGCCAAACTGCAGCCAAGTGATTCGTATTTTTTTGTATTTTATTTTTGTTTCTTTTGTTTTGCGCATTGTCAACGCGCTTTCAACAATGTGCGAATATTTTTATGTGAGAATTTGACAATTGTTAATGTTATTTTCTTGTTGTCATGCCCATCACGTAATTGTTGATTTTGTCTTGAATGCGCTTTGCTTTACTGGATCTTGGGTTTTTTTTTGACATAGGTGTTGATAAGTTTTACATTTGTAAAAAGCATTTACAGATTACGTAAGAAAGCTTAAATTCTTTTCCCACTCTTTGATAATATTGGAAATGCTATGCAACTTGTTGGCATTTATTTATCTTTTTTTAATTTTTCTAAGTTGTGCTAAAAATTTGTGTCTATTTTTTGGGGTGTTAAAATTTGTATACATTTAACATTTTCACATATATTTATAGCTATCAAAATTATTGGTATTTATTTATTTATTTTTTTCATTTAGCTGTTGACTGTTGTCGGGTTTTTCATTATAATATATGAAGATACTATTGTTTTGTAGTCACTACAGGCACGCTAAAATAGCGATAAAAATCTCAAATAAAACAATAAAATCTAAGAAAAGCTATTGAAAGGGCATAGAGCACAGCAGAATTGTAAAATTGTTAATTTTTAATTATTTGCAGTTAATACAGACCCATAATTTACATAGCACGAATCGTTTTTATGGACTATACGTATTTCGTAGAAACGGAAATACCACAAACAATAGTTAAAATTTGCTTCCACTAAAAATACCAGCTCGAAACGTGAATTTTGTGTTTTATAAAGCTTATTTAAATTTTTGCTATGTTGCACGAACTACGTGATTGAATATTTGCAACATTTTGCTGCATTTGCATTTTCCCGAAAATTTACAGTTGCAGTTTTCTTATTTTTTTTTTTTTTTCTTCTTGGGCTGTTGCAACTGCAACGCCATGTAATACCCTTGGCTGCCCAGTGCACGGCCGCTGGGCTGATGCTTGCCAATTACGCTTGCGCTGCCAACAACTACCAACAACAATGAACTGCAACAACAACTAGCAACAACAACAGCGTTGTGACCACAATTAAGTTTAAAGTGAAATTCTGCAATTGCTGGCACACCATTTGAGGCTATGCTGAGATGAGCTTTGCGCCTTTGATTGATCGCTGGTTACGTGCTGAATAAGGTAAAAAACGGGCAGCAACAACTGCAGCAGCATCAGCAATAGCAGCAAATGAAATGTGTTGCTGTTTTGGCCTCCAGGCGGATGCAAAAGTGGGCAGCCCATCAACAGCGCTCAGGAGCTGCCTGTCAACTATGTTGGAGCTTGACTCCGGCTTGAATGTGGCACCATGATTTCTGCCAAATGCCCGACACTAACAACACTTTTAGTTTCATTGCTAAATGAATGAATTTGTTAACAGAGCTATTGTTGTTGCTGCTGCTGCTGTAATTGATGTTTTATACAAAGTTCTCACGCTTGTCGCTAGGATACAATTTTTTATATCGCTTAACCGGCCGGACAGACAGCTAGAGGCTAAAAGCATGTTTGCTGAACTCTCAGCTTAAGCTGATAACCAGCTTTGATAATATTCGCATCAATATGCTCAAGCGCAGGCGATTATAATTTTTTATGATATTTTTAAAGCTGAGAAAACAGGAACTTAATTGTTCTTAAAACCACTTAAACAAGCGAACATGTTGCATTGGAGCCTATTGACTATGGGATACTCTTCGTATATAAATTAATAAATAACTATTTGATATTTAAATTGCAATATAGATACAAAATGTACATTTATACTATGTATTAATCAATTTGATTTTATCATAAGGCGAAAATAGGGTATATTTTATTAAGATCTTAAATGAACAATAATGGGCCTCATAAATATTGGGATAAAATAAATTGTCATGTGCCCTATGCACCTAGTAAGGTGATACATATTTATATACATATGTATATAATGCTAAAGAAAAAACAATAAATAATGAACTAGCAACTTAAGCCTTTGACTTAAACCTTTCGACTTTCTAAAAAGTAAATATGCATAAAATGATATGCTAATCAACATTTTGAAGCATTCTTAAATGCCAACGTCAAGTCAAGCCTAGACTACAACCAATTGCCCGTCTCATGTGACCCAGTTAGGGTTTATTTTGTTAGTGTCACCGTCTCTGGCTTATAAAGTGTGCCACTTCTAAAATAAAAATCTGCCATAACGAATTGTAAACAAATGGAGTCCAAACCGAAGATCGTTTAAATGGCAAAAGGCAAATGGAAACAACTACAACAGCCGCGCAAGGAGCCAAGTAAAAGGCACACAGATCGCAGATGAATGAATGAATGAGTGAGTGCCAGCCAAAACAAAAAAAAAAAGGGAGCCAACAGCAAGCCAGATAAACAAACAGATAGCAGCAAAAAGTCAATCGTTGCCGTTCAAGAGTAGCAACAATAGGCAACAAAAATCCTATAAAAATAGTAACAGCAACAACAATGGGAGGTAGCCGTTCAGCACGCTCCCAAAAAAACATGGGGAGATACAAATTGTATCTTTAGCTGACATTTCAACATGACTGCAACTACAATTCCAACTGTGACTCGTGTGTTTGCTTGTGGCTGTGTGTGTGTGTGTGTGTGTGTGTGTTGGCAAATACGTTTTCAAAGTTTTCGGTTTAACTACATGCCAAATCTGTCAAGACGCCACAAAAGAAAGCGGGCATCGGCGTGGGTGACTGGCGGTCAAAGCACTCGCCAATTCAATATGAAGCTGAACATTTCATTTCAGTGCCCGCAGTGGGCACATGTTAGAGATACCCTAGATAAAGAGCAAGCACACCGATTGGCAATTGCTTTTTAACCAAAGTTTGGCCTCAATACCAAAATGTGATTGATCATCGCTTCACGCGCTGTTCCCCCTTTAAGCATCACACCTTAAGATCGTGTGCTCTTCAAAATATCATAAGTTTGATATGCAGTATACAGAAAAAATGTGCGCATTCGAACTTTTGATTAATGAGTTCAGGTAAAGTCAGAATTTTGTAAATTATTTTTTATGTATATTATTCATTTTATTTGAAATTTATTGCATTTATTTAAATCAATGTGAATCGCAAATAACGCCTTTTATTTTTATGTTACCGATGAGCAAAAATTTGATTTAATATGCGACATTTTTTGGCATGATTTGATACTACATTTTGTATACCCAGCAACATATTTAAAAACACACTAAGAAGAGCATGATCATATTTTGAGATCTGTCATCCTATCAAATATATTTGAGTCTTCAAAATAGACGGGCCACTTGGTCAAGTAGATCTAAGATAAACTTTACTTAAACATGTGAAGTGTGGCTTGTTTGGGTTCCTCGCAGATTTCATATAATTCCTAGACAAGCTTAAACTTAAATCTAATTTATTAATACATTTTAGGTTGAAGCTTAAAATTAAACTGTACTGTGATATGTTAATTTATAATATATGTAGAGGGTATCTGTAAAGTAAGTAAATGCTCTAGTTTATAGGGTATTACCAAGTCAAGCACACTCATCTAGCGTACCCTTGCCAATTGTAGGTAAAATGCACTTAAAAACGGATATTCACATGCATTCAAATCGATTGCAGATCTTTTACACACACTAAATAAAGTGCTCTGAAGTCTTTTACAAAGCCGAACGCTTCCGTTGGCAACAGAAAAAATCAAAAAAAAAAAAAACCGGGCTAATTTCCTATTACTGTAATGAACGTTTTATGAACTGCTATAACGCAACACCTTAATTCGAGTACGATACGGTATTTTTTTTGTTGTTGCTACAGAGCAGAAAAATCGAACCGATTAGCGAGCACATGGGTCACTTAGGTATAAAAAAGAAAAACATGTACAATGGGCAAACTAAAATTAGAAGCATGTTTAAAAAATCGTGAGACACACACACACACACAAACACATACATAATGCTCGTTAATTGTGTCAATATGAAACGTAATAAAGCACTTTTTAGAATGTAACTGCAAAAGGTGCAAACACTAAATTTAAAGCAACTTCGTTGCCAAGTTCCGTTTCGGGATTGCAAGCGACGCTTCCTCAACTGCCAAGACTATGGTCAATCACAGAAATAAAAGTTACTCACAGTTTTCTATGCCCGTGTCCAGTTGTTGGCCAGTTTCCTTTTCGGTTTGCCGCAAAACAAACAATTAGCTCTTTTGGCTTTTATTTTCTTATTGTGCCTCTCCTTATCGGTAATGCCTTTTTGGCAAATTGCACAACCCACCGAAGACGTGCACAATAATTTGACAAAAACTATTTTTTAAATGTTTTTCGGTGTATTTTTTGGTGGTTATTTTTCTTTTTCATTCGTTAGCACACACAGTAGCACAGTAACACACGCACAGTACTAAGTTTTGCCTTCTTTGGCTTGAACGGGCAGCTCACAAGTCTGCATGCAGTTTAGGCCTTGCTAAGATTTTAGCAACTTGTTTTGAACTGCGCGCAATCGCAGACCGTCGTCGACTCAGTGTTTGGCCGGCAAGCGCGGCTCTTTTTAAACTCCCCCCAAAAACGCCAATACGAAGCTTGAGCTGTTGGCTGGTTCGTTTTTCAGTTGGTTCGGGAGCAACTGGTTCCAGATGCGCTCACGTTGTGTAGCTTAAAGCTCGCTTGTCTCTCTCCAATTGCTTGCTGGCATAATATTTATTTTTTAATTTAATATAAATACATATTCTAACTATCGAAATGACTATTTATTAACATGCAAACATTAAAGTTACGAGCGTTAGCAAATATATACTTTGAATGAAAACGATCAATAATATATATTAAACTAACGGGTATAGCTTTGAAAATGATTTTAAAACTGAAAATGATTTTCACGGTAAGTAAACAACTTTCATACAAACGTTTTCCCCAAATTTACCAATGTTGCCGACTTAAATTTTCCAAATCGTTAAAACACGTATTCATAACGTTTTTATGTATAGCTTTAAATAATACGTTTGAAGCAAATCCGAAAAAATTTAAATATCACCAAAAAATATCCTCGAAGTGCACTTTTTACCGAGGATGCTTCGATCCTGCGATATGTGAAACACGTCTCAAAAGATTTTCGAGATAGATCCTTAAAATGAATTTGAGGGCGGAACGTTATCCACCAAATCTTTGACCCTCATTTCGACCAAGGAGGAATACATTTTTGGAAAAGTGTGAAACACCCCTCAAATGAATTTGAACAAAGAACGTTGAAATTGAGTTTGAGGCCGATCGGATGTAAAAAAAATTATTCGTAGTGGTGGAATTTATTTAAATATATTTAATATTTCATTGTCAGGTTAAACTACTTGTGTGTGGTTTACTGGTGCAACGAATATTTATTAATATTAAAATGGATTGATATATTTTTATGCATATTTCTTCAAATTTTATCACCATAAATAATATTCCTACTCTATTCCAATTGCGAAGTGTAACTGAAATCTTTTCATTTCAACTGAGATTATTGGGGTTCCTCATGCAAAATTGTTTGGTAAATCTATTTAAATGCAGCCAGTGCTGTATAGCCTAAACATAGCGAGTCATAACCAACTGTTATATTCTCAAAATGCGTCACAGGATTCTTCAACCACCGCTTACAGGCAAATGCCTAGCCACGCAAATCGTAACGAGTGCCAAGGCACTCGCTCAGCAGCCCACACGTAAAAGTATCGAATGCATTCAGTGCGCGTGCGCAGAATTAACGATTTGCAGCTGGACAAAGAGTTGGCTCAAGACACTTGAAAGGCAAAATAAGGTACAACGGCTGTGGAACTGCGTTGTACACTTTGAGCAGATAAATTTTGAAAAATATTAACAAAATAACAAGAAAGAAAGTAAGCAGGTAAAAAAGTAAGAATAAAATAGGATTAACTAAAAGAAACTTTTAGAAAAAGTTTTGAAAATGCTAAAAGGAACCGAACTAAATACGGCAAAAGAAGAGAAAAATTGGTATACATTTTAAAACAAGTGTTAAGAAAGCTCTTAAAGCACATTTCAAAGATTGAGTGAATAAACTTAAGCAAAAATACGTAAGTTTAGTAAATTTGGAGAAAAAGCGTGGTGAACAATTTTTATTGATCTTGAAAAAAACCCATAAAGTAATGCAAACTGTGTTTTAGCGGGGGTGGGTGTATGAATCATGCGAATTACCCACACAAATATGGATGTACAGGTTTTCCAACTGTGTGAGTGTGTGTGTGTGTGCGTTTGTGAGTGTGTGAGTGTCTCAAGTAATGAAAATAACAACAAGAGTGTGCGAAAAACGTAAAAACCCCATCAGCAGCTGGCAAAAAAGAAAGAAAAGGCATAGATTTGTGGTAAAATCGATGTGAGGAGTCGAGGCAAAAATGTTCTTTTCATGTTCCTTTTTTCAACTTCTTTTTTCACCTGAAGTACTCATTCTGACTAATTGTTCTTCCGTACAGCTACGCGAAACTTTAAAGCAGCTAAGACAAGCGCAGGGCGGCCCAAGCCACAAGGCACTTAAAATGGCTGACGAGTATATGCCAGATGTCAGCATGATGGACACAAGTGAGTAACATATTGTGGTCAAAACTAATGACCATAATTAGCATTGTCTAAATGTTAGAAAGTTGCAGCAGAATTTTAGTCTTTAGAAGATTTCTTTGTTAAACGGGAATCGAGTAATAAAATATCTTGTGGTATTATTAAACTGTTACGAAAGATGTAACTCATTAAGCGTGGCATGTCAGACCCTTCATATTATGTTTACATATATATATATTATATTAACATATATATTATATTTACATATATGTATATATATATATACATATATATATATATATATATATATATATTTTAAGTCGATAAAGTCATATCAATTCGAATGTCTGTCTGCTTCTATTTAAAAAAACTTGATTTTCAGAGGCTTTTCGAAGCTTGATCTCTCGATTTTTGGTTTGTTAGTTTTTTGTAAGTATAAGTTTCAGCCTGTTAAATTTTAAATAACTTTTATCAGAGTCGGCTTTTTTTTAGACGGAAAATATAAAGCTATATAGTTGATAATAATAATAATTTATATTAGTTTATCAAGTTTGAGGAAGCATCTGAGTGATTTGGCTTGAATATAGTTTAGTCTTCAGCACTTATCTGAATACAACCAATATAAATATAAGAGCAATTAATTTTTTCCCACCAAGGTTAGCTCTACCAAAATAATTTTTAATTTCTAATTATTTTTTTCTGTCTGCTACAGTTGTGCCCGCCATATTGGGCCTCACTGCGGCCGCAGTGCTCTCGACGGTGGCCTGCATCTGTGCCAAGCAGATGCGCATACGCAACAAGAAGCAAAACCAACACGATGCGTCATTCCCATTCCAACCGACACGACGTCCGACCGCAGTTCGTTCGCCAAGCGGCCAGCCGCCGCACTATCTGAAGAAATCACCATCGCCCACTGGTGGCAAGCAGATGGGCTTGCTCTCACCCATGCAGGATCAGTCAACATCCCCGACAGCGCCGCCAAACATGAAATATAACGAGGAGGATGAGGTGACACAGCCGCAGCTTGCACAGCAGCAGCAGCAAAATTCCAACAAGCTCCACGTTGTTGACAATGCCAAACACCACAATCAACATCATTCGCCAGTGGAGACCATTGCCAATGGTAATGTGACCATCACACTGGACGAGACGCTGTCCAATGGCAAGGAGCTGACCGTATGCGACCAATATGGCAAGCTGGGCACCATTTACTTCAAGCTGCGCTACTTGGCTGAGCGGAATGCACTCATGGTATCCATCATACGCTGCCGCGGGCTGCCTTGCAAGGGTGGTGCTGGCGGCACTGGGGATATACCCACTGGCATGAATGGACGCACCCAGGCGGCAACCGATCCGTATGTAAAGCTGCAGCTGCTGCCGGACAAACAGCACAAGGTGAAGACTCGCGTGGTGCGCAACACCAGGAATCCTGTTTACGATGAGGACTTTACCTTTTATGGCTTGAATATGAATGATCTGCAAAACATGAGCCTGCACTTTGTTATACTAAGCTTTGATCGTTATTCGCGAGATGATGTTATTGGCGAGGTTGTCTGCCCATTGTCTTCCATCGAGATTGGTGATATATCGAAGGAGGCGCTCTCGATTAGCAAGGAGATACAGCCACGCAGCCTGAAGATACGCGCCCAAGGACGTGGCGAGCTGCTCATCTCACTCTGCTGGCAGCCGGCAGCTGGACGCTTGACCGTCGTTTTATTAAAGGCCCGCAATTTGCCCCGTATGGACGTCACCGGCCTCGCTGATCCCTATGTCAAGATATACTTGCTTTACAATGGGCAGCGTATAGCCAAGAAGAAGACTCATGTCAAGAAGCGCACGCTGAGTCCTGTCTTCAATGAGAGCTTTGCTTTTGATATACCCGCTGCAGAGGTGAGTTGAACTAATAGATTTTTATGCGTATTTTCATTTTGCTATTTGTGCATCTTTTTTAGGGCACTGGCGCCACCTTGGAAGGTGTCTCATTGGAGCTAATGCTACTCGACTGGGATCGCGTGACCAAGAATGAGGTAAGAGACCATATTATACTTTAAGTAGGCAGCCAATGAAAGCTCTCACCCTCTTGTGTCCACCTAGGTTATTGGACGCTTAGAGCTGGGTGGACCCAATTCAAGCAGTACCGCTTTGAACCATTGGAATGAAGTTTGCAGTTCGCCACGTCGCCAAATTGCCGAATGGCACAAGCTAAATGAGTAAAACTCTTCAATTTTATTTGGGGCAGCGACCCGGCGCTGGCGCCGCCTATTCAACCACAAAAACAACAACAGGCAAACCAAGTTAAATATATTCTAATTTTTATTTTCATTTTTATACTGCGTGCATAACCATAATTTAAATGAATTAAAGATTTTAAAATATTTATTTTGATTATGCTCAATATATTTCTTTTGTGGCATAAGGCACACAACATTTGAAAATAAAAAAGTTGAAGAAAAAGTAATTTACAAAAAGACACAAGAAAACTTAAGTAAATTAAATGTATTAGAAAATGTTTAGTATGTAACAACGCGAGTAAATGTAAGAAAATTAATTTAAAAAAAAAACATGATACACACATACTTATAATGAAAATTAAAACAGGTACACATACGTATAAAAAACTTCAATTTGTTGCTGTATAAAAATCATTAATTAAACGTTGGGCTAAAGTTTTTAATTATATACAAAAATAATTGAGCTTGAATTTTTTTTTGCATTGTAAAATTACATATTACCTGAAGAAAATTGTTTGTAGTCCATTTATTATGACTCTGCCCACCATGAATACATTTGGTATTTGTTTAATATGTATTTATATTGTAGCTTAAATTTAAAGCATATATTTATTTCATATTTACCACAAACTGAGTTCCGAACACCAAACACAACTAGGAAACCCCGAAGAAACTATTTGAACAGTGCTTTACACAACAAATTTTCCAAATGTGTCCGCAGTGAGACAAACGCTTACCGCTTATATCTTTATATACATATAAACAAACATTAAAAACAAGAGAAAAATAACAACAAAAAAATCCAATCAAAATAAATCGAAAAGATAACGAAACTTGAGAGAACACGCAGCAATTTGCTTAGGCACCAAAAAGCTACAAAATCACACACAAAAAAAGAACGAAACAAGTCAAAACCCAAAAAACTAAACAACACAATAGAATAGTACTTATAAGATGGCAAATCATATTGTATGTAGAAACCACAAAAGTAATTATATTATGTAGAGTTACGAAATACATAGATGGCATAGCTCAAATGAAACCAAAAGGCATTATACAAATCTTACGGCACTTACCCAAACCTACTTCGATAATATTTCTAAGCCCAACTAAGCAAAGCTTACTACGCAAACTCTACAACAATTGAACCGTTTAATTGGATGCTATGAGAGACATTTATAACAGCAGTTTGATAAGACATGGACAGAAAATGCAAAAAAATAAAAACAAAATGAAAAGGAAACAAATGCGAGCACAAAATGCATACTTTAATATAATCATAGCCCCAAAAAAGAAAACAAAAATTCAAATTGTGTCCACAATCAATCTTCAATTCGTCTAAAGTGCATACAATAATTAAAAAAAAAAAACACGATTTTCATATACATAGAAATATATATACATACATCAAAATATAGTATATACATACTTGATGCAAATGAATATATATATACTTACTGACATATATACTAACATCATACATGCACACATATAAAGTGAATGTATAATTCTATATATACATATGTAATAGGAATGTAAGAGACATTGAATGGTTAATTTCAGTAATAAAAACATATATAATATATAAAAAAATGATAAATTATTTTAATTTCGAATTTATTAGAGTTGAGAATATATTCAGTACTCTTTAATTTTGATAATTCGAAAATGTACTTGAATTTCTATTCGGGAAACACAATTATATGGATGGAAGCCAGCAGTGGGATGTGATGTAAGTTACAACTTAAGAAATATGTTGGAAAACAGTTGTAAGATTCTTTTTGGTTTACTTGCATGGAAAGCTGGTTTTGACGACCTTTCCATTTTCAAATATTCAATTAGCTGCCTCGATTTTTTGTTTGAATGTAATTTTAACCTTCTACACACTATGCAATTATATTGAATTAAAGTATGATTTTCATTTCTTCAAGCTGTGACTATAAATTTTAATTGGGCACGACTTATCCCTTTGTTAGTAGAAAAATTAAGTTTATCTAAAACCCATTACTTACTTTATATATGTATACATTCAGTCTACTCTGACGTTTTTATACCCTGAATTAAGTTTTTGTATCTTGCTTTCAAAATTTGCTTAATTCTTTTAATATCTGACAAATACTTAATTAAAAAAGAATTATGTTTCGTGAATCATCGAAAAGGTTCGGCAAAGTATTAGTAAACTTTTTCAGTGCTGACCGATTTTGAAGTCCCTAAACCATAAATAATAAATGCTTGCAATATATATGTCTAATCGTAACTTTTACCTCTAATGGATTATAGCAAAAAAATCTTACCTTAAGATTTGGTCCCTAGTCTGACCTATGGGATTGTTGCCAATCAAGCTATAGCCCAAGATAGTCAGAGCAGACCGTATGCCTTGAAGTCTTCCATAAACAACTGTTGGCTGTGGGACACATGCTATGTGAGAACTATAACGCACATTGTGGACAGCGATTTGGGCATATATACTATCATATGTTTATGAAAATGATAATGCATGAGCGATCTAAATCCTTGAACATTGAATTCACTTTATTATAGTTTCATTTAAGAGCTAGAAATAAATGTGAATTTACATTAACTAAAACACACACACATCTACTACTTGGCAATTACACAAGTATATTATATATATGTAATTAGTTTTATTTACTTATATTTTGTAAAGTACTAAATTTTTTCTGCCGCATAAACCTTTGACGCCTCTTTATTTGTGGCCTGCTTCCATTTGCTATGCTTAAGTATAGTATTTAATATTTTTGCCTTTTCCTGTTATTGATTATTATTTTTTCGCGTTTAGCATTTATACATTGAGATTTGCGGAATTATATTATATTTATTTAAATTATTTTCTTTTATCTGCATTTTTTATTTAGAATTTTTGTCAAATAATGCATATTTGATAATTCATTAATTACTGACTTTAAGTTTGAATTTTAGGACACATTTAGTTGACTTCGCTTAGCTAATACTTTAGTTTTCTATAAAAACTTTATATTTAAATTTGTATTCAAATTTTTGCTCTTGATTTTTCAATTTTGATCACTTCAGTCTTACCAAAAATATTTATTTCAATAGTATTTTTTCTCGCGGTTTTGAACATTCGAAATTTAGTGTTATTTAGTATTAACTCTTAGGCTTAATTCAAAATAGTTTGTTTTTACTTCTTTAAGCTATCGCATAGTTTCTTTAATAGGTTGTAAACACATCAATATTCTAATGCTCAACTGTGTTTTTCTGTTTTTATTTGCAAATTTGGAAATTTCTTTAAGAAATTTTTGTATTCAATACGATACACGTAGATACATAATGGATTACTTATCTCTTGCCAGTACTAATCGTAGTAGTTGTATATGTACATAACTTTTATATTTTATAGTTTACATTAGCTTTGATTTCAATGCTGCCATTTGATTTAAGATATTACTGCGAGATCTGTTTTGCGCATGGAATAAAACTACATCTTAAGAATGTGACGGTTAAATATGTACATATGCACTTCAAGAGCTCTGAGAACTGAAATATGTGTAAATTAAAGTTCACAAGGATTTTGGAAATGGTATTGAAATGATAAAGCTACCTTTGAGGTTTATAGGCTATTTAAACTTCCAAGGGGCCAAAGTTGAATTTGACGTGAAGTTGATCAGACGGTTCATAATATCTCTTTTGCTTAACAAGCTTATTTGGTGCTGTCACAAGCACAGTGAATTTGTTGTATACCAGGTGTTTTCAATTCAAGTCATCATTTCAAATATTTACCAGGTAAATAAAGCAGCTTGTAAGCCTAATATGAATATTATAAGTATTAATCAAATTTGCTTGCAGTATGCAAATCCGTATGTCAACTATTTACTAGGAAAATTAACCACCTTGTAAGCTTAAGCTAAACATGAGCACCTGGAAGAGAAATCGACATTAACAACACGTTAAACTACATGTTGAGATTATGACGATGTCCAGGGAGCTAAACAAATCGGAAAGATAGAAATATGTAAGCAAGTTCTGAAATAGCTCCAACCTGCATTCCTATTTATACAAATTCAGCAAATGCACACAAAGTATAGTTCCTTTGTTCCCTTAGGAACTTCAATCAGTAATTGAGTTCTAAAATTAATTTGGACGGTGTAGTTAAATTAGAATAATTAATACGTATAATTGGCAATTTACAGATTTGTTTATCGTTATATAACTTAAAAGAACTGTGTGTGTGTGTATGTATATATATATATGAAATGATATATATATATATATATAAATATATATTTATATAACCTAGGTCATAGTACGCACTAAGAGTTACTAACTACAAATTAATACTGTACAGGATACGCGACACTTCTAATAGAAACTAATTAAACGGGCCTCAGCTCGTATTGCATACAAATCGGCGGTTAACGAAATATCTGACAATTGTATACATATATGTACTGTATCAAATATGTAGCTAAGTACAATAACTTAAGAAGATGGGGCGTGGCCAACTTAAAAATACGACGTTAGCTATCCTTTATCCTTGCCAGGCCCGACGCTTACGCCGAGCAGGTGCTCCCCGGCCATCAGGCCCGCCGGCTGATGCGCATAGTTGCGTATCTGATGTAGCGAGATCAGCTGATTGGGAAAGGCATTGGCATTATTCTGGTTCACATTCTTATTGGGAAAACTGATGGCATCATAGAGATAGGGACGCTGTGCCATCGGATGGTGGCTCAGTGAGTTAAGGTGCGGCGGCATCGAGTTGATCGGCGTAAAGGCCGAATTGCTGGTGGTTTTCGTTATGGATGCCGCATCATATGGCCCGACAGTGCTGGGCGTGGTTACTGCAGATGGAGAACATTGCCTAAGCTGTTCCTAATTTATAAGTTGCAAGCATGAAACTTACCAATATCCTCGCGCACAGCGTCGGGCATGATGCGATGATGCGGCTGCAGCTGCTCCGGCGGATGGCCATTGCTCTGGTTGCTGTTGGGCGCTGTCGGTTGGGCATAGTGCGCCTCCATGCTGTGCTGGGGCGGTGGTTGTTGTTGCTGCTGCTGTGGGTGATGGTGCTGCGGCTGTTGCTGCTGCTGTGGCGGGCCATGCTGCTGCGGTGGTACGCCCAGTTGCGTGTGATGGTGATGCGGCTGCTGTTGCTGCTGCTGTTGTTGCTGCTGTTGTTGTTGCTGTTGCTGTTGCTGTTGCTGCTGCTGCTGTTGCTGTTGCTGCTGATGCATAACCTCCATGGCATTGGCTGCAGCTGCAGAGTCCGGACTTACCTTTGGCCAGTAGCTGTTGTCGCTAGGCGCTATCGAAACGGGTGGCAACACCAGATTGTTGCGCTGATGCTGTGTGTTGCTGGCCGCCGCTGTTGATGTATTGCTAGGCTGCCCGCCGGCAGCAGCAGCAGCAGCAGCGGCAACAGCTGCTGCGCTGCCCGGCGCAATGGGCGGCCGCTTGTCCGTGCGCTCCGCATGCTTCTGCATGTGCTTGGTCAGGTAGGTCTCCTGGGTATACGACTTGCCACAGTATTGACAGATGTGCGTCTTCAGATGCTTCGACTCTTTGTGCTTGGGTATGTGCTCCAGCAGCGAGGGCTCATCCGAGAAGCACTTGTAACAGGAGTTGCACTTGAACGGTTTGTCCGTCTGGTGGCAGCGCGAATGCGACTGCAGATTGGACAGTTGCGAGAAGGCCTTCTGACAGCCGGGATGCCGGCACTTGTACGGCTTATCGCCAGTATGCGTGCGTATATGCTGCTGCAGGTGCGATAGCTGCGTAAACTTGCGCTGACAAATCTCGCAGCGATACGGCTTAATACCCAAATGGATGCGCGTGTGCTGTGATAGATACGAAGAGTTGGCAAACGCCTTAGAGCATTGCGTGCACTTGTATGGTTTCGCCTCACGCATATGGATCTGCGTGTGCAGCTGCAAGTCCGCCTTTGAGCTAAAGATCTGCAATTGAGAGATTTTGAAAATTCTAAGAGTCGGACATGGCTGTGGCTTGGCTGGTTAGGATTTAGGTTTTTATATTTTGCTTAACTTGCATTGCACTTGGCTGAAGCTATCGATTGTTTATTTTTGTTAAAATCAAAGCTGGTTTAAAAATATGACATTTTCAATATTTAATAATATTTCATACTAAATAATGCACCACAAATGTTGCAAATCTATCAAACAATTATTATTTAAGGTGTGAAATCAAGAGCCCTATCCGAATCGAAACAGTTTCGAATCAGCGGAAAGGCATTTACTTAGTACTTGAGTTCGTTACAAGTTAAAATTTTTTTACTCTTATCTTGATTGGAATTTCCAGGAAACTGTTTATAAATGGATTTTAGGATTCTCAATTTAAAAAAAAAATTCCAAAAATATAGAAATAGACAATATTTAAAAAAAATCAGAAAATTCCCAAGAAACATACAGGTTTTCACAATTTTTTGCATACTCGATTTAAAGCCAATTTCGAAATTTTAAATTTTGAAAAACAAATATCCCCAAGAAAAAGTACACATTTTTTTCAGGCATTCGAGGTTGCTTTAAATTAAAAAAAAATATTTTCATCAATAATGAAGGTAAACCTCCTCCAGAATAGCATCGCGTATAGAAGTCGATTGAGATTTCAATAATTCAATTAATGTTTAAATCCGCAAAAAGTATTAGCTACGAACTGTACAAATCAAAATTTTTGTCAATGTTAACTACAGTTTGGCCCAGATGAATTTCTTTGTATTGCGGGTAACCTGAAGCCTTCACCTTGTTATCCTTCACATCATGCGGCATGTGATGCGGTGAACTGGTAGATGATGAGATGCCACTAGCATTGGCAACGCTTCCACTGACTGCAGTTGGGATTGGATTCGAATTTGTATTGGGATTAGAATTCGGATTACGCTCATTGATCGTTGCGTTTTGCATGCGTATGCCGCCGTTGTCCACGCTGTTGCTGGTGACCACAATGTGCTGGTTGGGATTGGGATAAATGCGGGACTTGCGACCACGTGTCGAGCCCGTGGGTGCTGTGGGGCCGGCGCCAGCAGAGCTACTGCTGCTGCTCACGACGGCATCGTTGACTAGCTTGGAGCTGCTGCTGGTGCCGTCGGCAATAGCTAGAGTGGAGCTGCTTTCCAGACTCGGCTTGGACTGATGCAGTGGCTCCCCGCCACCACTCAGGTGATATTGATGCTGCTGCTGCTGCTGCTGCTGTTGTTGTTGCTGCTGCTGTTGTGGCTGCTGTGGCACCTGCGGTTGCTGCTGCTGTGGCTGCGGATGTTGGCTATAGCTAAGCACCGAGCTGCGCAAATCAGGTGTGTTGGAAAAGACGCTAAGGGGTCCCAGGGCCACGCGCTCGTTCAAACTGTTGCGTAGATGATCTATGGAGCGATGTACTGCGTGGGAGTAGTCGCCTCCAGAGGGCGGAATCTCGCCAATTAGCGGGGAATTGTGATGGTAATCGAGGCCACCGCCAATTGGACGATACTCAATCAAACGGCCCTCCATTTGTTCTTAATATTTTTATTTAAGCTCGTTTATTTCAACCGTTTTAGTAATATTATATAAATATATTTTTTACAAGTCTTTAAAATGAGTTTTAAGCACAATTTTTATATCTGTGAAGAAAATGTTCCGCGCGCAATTTTAATAATTATTCTTTTTATTTCGTTGTTTATTTTTTTGTACTTTATTTAAAAGTTATATTTAGCTATTTTTATGGGTTTTTAAGCCGTGGGCTTTCAATTGATTTATATTTTGTGGCTAACAAATGTATATGCACAACAAGTGTAAATGATGTAATAACCGCAAGGCACACAAGTATTTTTATAAAATTAAAGAACAAATTTCAAATATAAAATTAAAATAAAATTTTAAATATACATTAATTAATTGAAAGTAATATATTCAGAAGACATAACATAAAACCCAAAATAAAAAAAAAAAAAACAGAAAGTATTTTATGCTGACGATAATGTCTTTAATATTATATGAGCTATCGGCATAGGTGTTACCATTTTTGCTTTTATCAAGCATATGCTTAGTTTAGGTTAAGGTATTCTGCCTGTTGCACAGCCTTTTTTAGCGGTCTTTTTTTCTCCAAATTTATAGGTGACGGTTTTTTTAAAAATTCAAAATCTGCGATACGCGACCGCAAAAACGTTTAGGTCTCGACTCGCTGCACCAGTCACAGCAATTTTGGATAGAATTTTATTCCCTTTTTGGTCATTCTTTTTTATTTTTTGTACTTGCCTAAATCTAACACCAGTTTTTCTATGCTTTCTATTTATTTTTTTGTTATTTTGCATTTTCAATTGCTTCGTTTGCGCTGCACGTTGGTATTTTTTTAAATTTTTTTTACGCGGAAATATTTTTTCGCCACGCATTTGACTTTTCAGATTTTATGCGACCAGCGCCCCCCCCCTCGCACTCTGTGGCCGGGAGCGTGCTTTTTTCAATTTGACTATTTTCTATTTTCCATGCGGCCTTTCCTCTGCTCGCTTTTGGAGCGCTTCGATTAGAATTTTTTCCCCACATAAAAATCCGCAATGTGTTTCCCTCTGCTGTTGACTGTCTGTGATTTTATAGAGCATTGATATTTTTTTCTATTTCTTCTTTTTTATTTTTTGCTATTTGTTGTGGGACAAGTCATTGAAGCGCAGACAAGCAGCAGACAATCTGCGTATATATCAGGTGAAAGTCCTCGTTGTTTTTATTTGTATTGTTCCATATTTTCTGTTTTTGTGGGGTTTTTCTATTTCTAAGCGCCGCGAATAATTCATTCATTTGTTGCATATTTCACATTTTTTTATGAACTCTGTGACTGTTGATTTTTGATATGATTGAAACGGTCTGTGAGTACTCGTGGCTGTATTTTGTTTATTTTGCGTTTAGATGGAATTGCAAGTTCGTTAGCCATTCACGACATTGACCTTGAATGACATTTTTATGGTTTAACATTTTAACAAAGCCACAGTTTGATTTATTTTTTATTTGCCAAATTGTGTTTATTGGCAACAAATTTTTAAGACTATGGATATGTAATAAATCTGCAGATTTATTATTTATCTGTGAACTAATATAAGTTAGTCAAAAATGACAGTTTACCAGATACTCAAGATACTCAGATACTCAATTACAGCTAAAAGTTGATCTGACAAATGAGCAGCAGATAAACTGTCTAAATCTTTCCGCAGAACTTATAATCTTCATTGTAAGGAATTTTTTTAAATTTCATTTACACTTATATGTATACCTAGATGCTCAGGATTTTTAAATATGTAGGGGGAATTATCTACATATGTGGATGACAGGTAACACAAAGAAAAATGCTTTATTAATTTGTAGAAATAATATTACAGCAAATACAAATTTTCAAAAATATTTCAACCTTGCTGCTGTACTTTTATAATTCTAACAAATGGAGCAGATAATATATAAATATATATATATATATATATATATATATATATATATATATATATATATATATATCAATGTGTAAGCATTAAATAACAATCTTCTTTGCATATAAACTGCTACTTTATATACATACATATGTAGATTATACACACTGATGCATTATTATTTTTTTCCTTTCAATTTTTATTTGTTAGCTAAATAATTATTTGTGTACAAATTACGACATTTAAAATCGGCTCTTCCTTCTTTTTAATGGCTTTCAAAGTGTTATATAAAACAGTATATAAATTGGAGTGAGAGTTACATATGTATGCGTTTTATTACAGACTTATCTGCATATACGCTGCACATAATGTAGGCCCCGTCCTAAATCAATTAACAATAAAAAAAAAAAAAAATACAAATACAAAAAAATACAAAAAATCAGCAAAAACTGGGGAATGCTCTTATGTACTTATGTGCATGTGCTTCTGTGTGTTTGTTTGTTTGTGTGTTTGTGGGCTGAAGTTCGGGTTAATGCATAGTTCGGGCTTTTAACTAATTAACATTTAGCGGTTTCGCCTGCCCTCATGACTCAGACTCTAGATTTATTTTTAATATTAATTGAAAATTGTTGAAAAATTGAAAAAATGAAAGAATTCGCCCGCTCTTTTATTATTCATAACTTTTTGCTATTGTTGTTGCCTGATTAATGCATTTTTCACACCACTTTTTAGCTTGTTTTTATTAAATTGTACAACATCACAAAAATGTTTCCGTTTCGTTTTTTTTTTGTTTTTTATTTAGTTTATGTTTTTTTTTTGAACTTAATGTCAGTTAATGAAAAATGCATTGCAGGGTGCCATTTGATCCGTGCAAATATTTTTTCAATACATTTAATTATTATTTTTATTCATTTTAAGGATATTTAATTTCACATTTATCGCGTTTATTTTTTTTCTTATTTGGGGTCACGCTTGTTTGCACTAATCATTAATTATTTTCACATCACTTCAAATATGCAATTAATTTTTGCTCTGCTCCTTTATTAAGGTAACATATATTATTTTAATTATTAGAAGCGTAAATCCGAAATTCTTGCCGTTACGTTGTGAACGCCGCAATTGCCATTGATTAACTGATCGTTGGCAAAATTAATTTTGTGGTCAGCAGGCTCCACAAAAACCGCTAGTAACTGTTATGAATGTGTGTATGCCTGTGCGTGTGTATGGAGGCGTGGCACATCTTTTAACGCGCAGCTGTGTGTCATTAACGGGCTATGCAGCGATTTGTGTGGCGCTTGCTCTGCATATTCTCAGCATATCAAATTCCCGAGCCTGGATCATGCGTGCCTCAGGCTTAGGCTCAGGCTCGGACTCATATATTTATTCAGATTCAGGTGTTTATGCTGCCTAATTAGCTTAAGCTTGAATGGTTTTTTTCTCCCGCAAAACTCACAGTTGCAAAGACGCAGGCGAGCAACATCAGACCGAGTTAGTGTGAAGTTAGCTTGAAAAAGATGACCCATGCCTGAGCCTGGGTAATCGAGCCTGGGATTATGC